GGGGAGGGAGGGGAGGGAGTGTAGGAGAAAGGGAGGAAAGGCAGGAGGGAAGGAAGGAAGGAAGGAAGAAAGCGCCATCTGAATTGCTCATTCATTACATGAACAGCAAGGGTTCAATCATTCAAACAGCACGGAATCAGTGTCATCGTCGGAAAATTTGGTGTACAAGAGTGAGGTCGACATCAAACAATCAGAAAAATGGCAGTCAAACCTACTTCGAATCAGATATTTCATCCCTTGGTTCCTGGTTTGCTCACCTCAGACCCTCACCACAAGCCACAATCAGCTTGTCATCGTTTGCTGCCAGTCGCTGCACTTGGTCAACAAAATTCTCATTCCGTTTCACCACCTTTGTTCCCATCCAGACTCCACCATATCCCATGTTAATACTTGACTTCAGCAGGCCGACCAGGCTGGTGTCTGTGTCTTCAATGAACAAAGGCACATGCAAGGATGACTTCAGATGAGCCCTTTCATACTCCCATGCAGGGCGCACGTCCAGAAGTCGGCAACCTCCTTCTGACAGCATAGGACGAGCTGCAGCAGGCCACTGAGATTGCACTGCTCCTGATTGCACCAGCTGTTGAGCATCCTGCAAGATTAAACCAATGATAGTTTTGCACCGGTGCTTATGCAAGGAAACCATGATGAGCAGCACCAATGATGACAACATTGCGTACACATTTACAGGCATTGACTCGAATGATAAATGCAAAGTTGCAAACACGACAATTATGCGATCACACTTGCTCATAATAATGATACCTATACTGATATCTGTAATTGATACGTACCGTCTTCCCCCAAATAGAACATATGGTCATTATGCCTGTATTTGGGGCAACTTTCAGTGGAGATACAGAAATGATGACTGTACGTTCTATTCGGGGGAAGGAGGTAGCATTCCCTGTGCAGGGATTTGAACCTGAAGCTGCGGTATGAGTACGCAGCAGAGTCATTCTGGGACGCCACCTTCCTACAGCTCTTCCCTCTCCTGGATAACAGCCCAAGTCTCAATCCGGTGTTGGAGAAACAGCTGCCGGCTGGGGCTCAATGGCCTGAAGTGAGCCAGCGTCTGCTGCACATCATAGCACCACTTTTCCAACCCCCTCTAGGCCCGCCAGCCAACGAGGGATACGCAGAGGTAGCAATCAGCAGTTCCTTATAGTAACCCGGGGGAATGAGTGGGGAGGTAGATGAGGGGAAGAGAGGGGGAAGGGAATGGCAGACAGAGAACACCTACCACCTAAGGCAACCCCTGTTAATGGATCACCTATCACCAAGGCTGCATTTTTTGCAGCTCCGACTGGCCATGGTTCACCTGGGTCAAGCACCGGGTTCTGTGGGTGGGCGATATATGGGACCAAGTCACCAAGGACTGGAAGACAGACGAGCATCTACGCCCAGTCCTACGCAATGCGCACCATCTCTCAACTAACCTGGAATGGATTGTGTTCTCCATCCCACTTGCCTGGGTGGCCATTCTACGGAAGTGGCTAGTCTTTAAGGAATCCGACTGGGTGGCAGTGAAACAATGGAGGGGGGCCCTCTTGCAGGTAACATACTCACAGCCGGGCTGGAAGGGGCTCTCGTAAACCTCTTCAGAAGGGAGAGAGACGGTTCCCTGACCAGGCACTGCTTGGAAAGGGTTGAATGGGTAGGCAGGGGGGCAATGTACAGGATACGTGTTCCCCAGCCGCGACCGACACGGGATGGATAGCATACCGCCAGCCTCTCTCACTGCTTGCACTGGACTGGGAGGAGTGGAGGTGGAAGACCGGAAAGTCTCTGCATGCACAAGCGCCTTGCGCTGCCCTGGTGCAAATCCTGCCAAGACGGCTTCCCCACACGAAGGATCAGGGAGACCATCGAGCACATATTCCTCCAATGCGCGGGTGCAGTCTTGACACCTTGCAATTCTCTAAAATCAAGGGCTCAAAGAGCGAGACTTGCTCGATTTTTCGGTTCATATTTCAATTTGGGGTTTTTTGGAACCTTGTGTCTATTTTATTTCTTATTTTTGGGGCGACCGTTTGAGTCACCGAGGATAACGGACTTGATACGTGAAGCAAGGTGTGGAGGCAGCTGGACACAAAACAGGAGTGGGCATGGGACTGGAGGCTCTCCTCCTGGGACCTTAGCAACCGCCCCAACCCTCTTCCTTTGCTGAGAACCTCTTTTCAATAGGTAGGAAAGCGATCCTCTGCGGACTGTGGTGGAAGAGACGTGTGCATGCTGTGGAAGGAGTAAAGGTGGATGGGCCAGAGGTAACAGAAGTGATACACCAATTCATTCACACAGAGCTGCTGGCCCAATGAGGGGAAAAAACAGACAAAAATGCAATTCACACAGCCTCTGAAGAAAGACATCACAGAAGAACTCAACAAATTCTGCTCTGACTGGCTGGGGAGGGGGAACGGGGGCTGGATGACACATGTGGAATGGCCCGGAGGTGGCACAGACCCCCATAGAAAAGACTTCAAGCTCGATTTTCATGACTGGTTGCAAATTGATCCTGGGATCCCAATGAGCCCCCCGGGGGATTTTCCGGATCCTTTCCCTCCATCTGAGCAAGCCATAGTAGATTATGCAGTGGTATGGTCGGGCGTAGGATGGGGGACAAGCGGTAAAGCTGCTAAGTAGACAGGCCTTATCCGGCGGCCAAAGGCAGGCTGAAGAGGCAGTGCCCCCCCCCCCTTGCTCACCATGTGTATGTTCTTGGGTGCTTTGGGTGTTTTTTACTTCATTCGTAGCTGTGAACAAAGGTTTCCTGCGGATTCTCTGAATGGCTCAGTAAGTTGCTGTTATTCGCAGCTGAAAGCAGGTAATGCCATAATGGCCCCGGTACCTCAAATGGTTCAGACTGTATAAGTTTATATAGGACGCTGGGCCCGTTTGCCATCAGATGCTGCTGCTCCTACGAATAGATTGGAGCACTGTTTTTTTTTGTTTTTATTTTCAGAAAACCTATTACTAGAGCAGCATTGTGATCACAACTTGTTTGAGAATGCAAAAATACTGAACGAACAAGGACAACCTTTCTAACCACGTGAAGGGCCTAGAAAACTTGGAAGACATGGATGGAGAAAAAAGCGACTACAATCAAGGACCTAAGGACTACGGGGACGGCTCCCGCACTCAGACATGTAAGAGGAGACAGACTCACAGATCTGCTAGAAACTGTCCTCATCGGGTGGAAAAAACGATCCCAGTGAGGAAACCCTACCCAACATGTTGTTCAGATCAGGTTCTACACATATTCAGGACCTTGCCACACTACTCACCAAAGATGAAAAAGACAAAAACTACGGTAGGTGTACCATTCCACGATACATCCACCATTCTGTACATCTGGTGAGTAGTGCAGCACCTCCCTCATTCTTTCTTGTGTAGAGTTCTGTGTAAAGAAAAGGAGCAGCCCACAAGGCCCTAACTTGGAGAACGGAGGACAGTTCTGAAGAACTGCTCCCCCTACGATTTAAACCACCGGTACTTCCAAGGCACTTTTCTCCGACGATGGAAACCCACTGCGTTCCAAATAAAAACGACCCGTGCAACTTTCTTTTGGCTGGCGCCGACAGCCATTTTGCTCCGCACGCGTTAACGGACTAGGGCGGAAACGAATGGCTGGGCCAATCACCGGTGGTTTAAGGAAGAAGGTCTTACAGAATCAGTAGGACATCTAGATGAGGTTAGAGTAGACCTTTTTTTCTTTTTTCTTTTTTTTTAATTTGGACCATTTCTCGATTTATGCGTGTCATCCTTTCGCAGGGGCCATGCTAATCTTCTCTGTATCGTTCCAATTTTAACGGATGTCTCGAAGGACTGGTTAGAGTAGACCTTAATATAGGTGTTCATCAAAATATCCACTCATGCCCAGACGAAATGGAGACCCAGTAGTGGAACTTCTGGTAGATTGTCAGCAAGTCAGATGGCTCCTTGAGAAAGGCATTGAACAAAGGATTCCTATCCAAATATTCTTCACAAATTGGTGTATCCTTACTCAGGCACAAACTTCACAAGTTGGTAAACGTACTTCACCAAAAGAAAAAAGGAACAAACAGACGAAGTATATCAGAAAGAACCCCTGAGGAGGTGTTGGGTGGGGCCAATCTCTATATGGTCACGGAAAATATGCAGTATGGTATGGCTGCAGTCTATGCTGCCCCTTCTTGCTGGCATCCAAAGGAATGAAGATCGAACCCCCTGAGCTTGGTGTACTGGGCAAAGGAGACAACATCACATCGCTGGTTGAATTACCCATACTCAAGGAAGCTATGGGCATGATGCCGTGGTCACTAAGGAGGATCGCCTCAAATGATTTTCAATGGTCAAACAGTGGATTCTGAGTGGAATTCCAAGAGACATGACAAAGACCGCAGAAGGGCGGTCGTATGTGGCCCAGAAGGATGGTTGTGTGTGGCTGAGAAGGATGGTTGTATGAGGCCCAAGTACCGCGAGTCGTGGCGATGGGAGCAATGTCACGGGCGTTGTTACAATCTGTCTTGAGAGTGGGTTTTATGGCTGTGGCAGACTAGCTTCTCAGACTAACTACCATTCTTGTCAGGGGTTTGGACAGACAGTCTGCTAGGATTGCAGGGCTGGTGCAGCGATACTCTGAGACTGGCTATAGGCCAGGCCTATTTTGGCTATTGTCTGTTCGGCCTGCGGGACTACGCCATCGACATTATCTCACAGGCCGTGGCCTTGTCTAATCCCGTAGGCCGTGGGCCTTATCTCACAGGTTGTGTGCTTGTCTAGCCCAGTACCCATGTTGGTACCAGTCCAGTCCATCCGCTGGGGGTATACCCCCGCTGCAGTCTGTTCATTCATTCATTCCAGATCTTTGGCGAATCTTTGGCGTGGTGCGTGCTGGGTGCTGTGGCCTCCATGCTTGACAGCCTTACTTCTCCACCATCATCTTTCACCATCTCTCTCTCCTTCGAAGCAGGACAGGATCCCCCATCTCGGCATGTCCTGGTTCAGTTGCTGTGAGTGAAGTCTACTTCTTTTCTCTCTCAAGGGCTATGGCTAACCCTGGGTGACGTGGTGAGTCCTTAACCATCAGTCAGATGCATCCTGTCCAGGTTCAACCTCCAAATGAGTTGGTGAAGGTCCCACGAAACAGTCTGGCACAGTCATACCTTTTCGTTTTCTTCTTTGTTTTTGAATGGGGAAATTGTTGAAATACCCGTAAAACTTTGGGCATTTCGTTAGATACCCCTAAAAGACAGGGGTATGCTGAAATGTCCCAAACTTCTGCATCTCCCGGTCCCTCTCATTGGCAACTTCACCATACGCCCTGGCCCTTGTGACCTGGTCCTGGGCAGGGGCCGGTGCATTTCTTTTGCAATCTGCAGGGTGCAACCGCCTAAAATACCGGGGCATATAGACAAGTTGCCCAGGGCCCGGTAGGGGTATATGCAAACATGACAGGTCCAATTGGAGAGTGGGGTAGTTTGGACAGTTTCACTAATGTCATAGGGGCATTTCGCCATACCCATGCCTATTAGGGGTACCTGACAAAATACCCAAACTTTCAGGGACATTTCAACAATTCTCCCTTTTCGAATACACCACGGTCATGCCTTTTCTGTGGAGTTGCTTATAACGAACGTGACAACACACACACACACTCACACACACACACACACACACACACACACACACACACACACAGAAATTACGCGCGAGTCCATGAACTTCCCACGAAGCAGTCTAGCATGTTCCCCTTTTCTTCTGCCCCAACTAAATCCCTCTCCACCCACCTCCTCCTCCTCCCTCCTGGTCGCTTTTCCACGTGGCAACACGTACGCGTAAGATAGGATAGCTGCAAGCGTACATTTTGTGATTGAGTATGAATGCGAGCAGGATCAATCATAAGAGGGACGCCGTTTTAATTAGCATTCCAAACAAGAGAGCGCCTTGAATATGAAAGCGGACCGTACCTTTCATCATGGCAGCGTACCTGCTTCACCATTTTCTGCCCCCTTTGCCCCTTGCGCCATTTCTGCCGGGGAGAGGAGTGCGCCTTTCCTTTCCCCTTTCAACTTAAGACCGACAGGAAAATAAGAAAATAAAAAGAAAGACCGACAATGGATTAAAATCTTGACTTTATTTCGCGAAACGAGTTCGATCTCTTACTTTCTGACTGTAACTCCCATCCTCCTTGTTTCCGGCAGTCATTCCGTCAGCCTCTCTCTCTCTCTCTCTCTCTCTCTCTCTCTCTCTCTCTCTCTCTCTCTCTCTCTCTCTCTC